TTTTTTGGTACCGGGGATCAAACTCAGGTCCTTGCGCTTGCGAGGCAGGCACCGGAACCACTGAGCTAAATCTCCAGCCCTAACTGTATCATATTTTTAATATCAGTATACGAATTTGCAGTTATTCAGCTTTTAGTAAATATTTAAGTGACTATTTTTTTTTTTGGTACCGGAGATTGAACTCGGGACCCTATGCTTGCGAGGTAGGCGGCGAAATCACTGAGCTAAATCCCTGGCCTCAACTATTTTTTTTTTTAAGTGACTATTGTGTACCAGTGGTAGACAACTGCCTGCTTTGGATGATGATAAAGATTTCTCACATAAAGACCTTAGGGACATTAGGTCAGCTAAGAGTGATCTGACACTTACCTATATAAATAAGAGGTAGAAAGTAAATAGTGTTTTAAGGAGGAACATATAACTCATGAAGAGTTAAATGTGTTCAAAAGGGAGATATAATTTCCTACTTTGAGAGAAAAAGCATGGAAACGTGGCTTAACAATTGGAAAATTTTAGCATTAAAGATAAACCTAGAAGGATTCTGTGGGTTGAGGAGATGGCATAAGCAATAGTGAGGATGAAGATTGAAAAGAACTAGAGGCATAAAGAGGAAATAATGTGTAGCTTATTTATTTATTTTTTTGGTACTGAGGATCAAACTTGGGACCTCTTACTTGCGAGGCAGGTGGCAGAACCACTGAGCTAAACCCCCAGCCCATGTGTAGCTTATTAATGATACTATTTAAATTCTGAATGAGTACTATGCCCTGTACATGAATTATGTTATTTACTCTTCATTATTGTGAGGTAGGAACTAAAACCTAACCTATTATAAAGGAAACTTAAGAAACTTGTCTAGAATCACACAATAAGTAATGGGACTAGGATTTGACATCATTCTTGCTTTTAAATGTGTCTTCTCTATAAAGACATTTAAACATTATGCAGGAGTTGAGAAGTATTGTAGGAATCAGCTAGGATGTAATGTGAGGTCAGTGTTTTAGGAAGATGAATTTGGCATTCATTGTTTATTTTGCTCAGTATAATTTCTTGCACATATGTCAGTGTACCTATTTCACAGTTATGTCCCATCAGTTTAATAGTTAATGTGATATTTTACTGCATTCATGGTACCAGTGTACTTATCTATGTCCCTATCACCCAACATTTAGATTTTGGTAATAAAATGTTTAACCTTTGTGAGAGAATCATCTGAATAGATAGTACCTTCATGTGTTTCTGTTGTTCTCCATGTACTATATTTTAGGAGCAGCAAATGGATTTCTCATGGAAGTATGTGTGGATTCAGTGGAGTCAGCTGTGAATGCAGAAAGAGGAGGTAAGAGAAATTAGAGAATGAGGTTCAGTTGGCAACCTTTTAAGGGTCTAAAAATGAATCCTGTGAACTGAGTTCAGAAGCCCTCATAATCTCTGAGGATCCTACTAATTCTTTCAAAAACAACCACCTAAAAACCTACTGGAAAATTATGGTCTAGTCTCTTTCCTTCCCACGCAGGTCACATTTGAAATCACGTTCACAATCATGCATACTAATTAACTGGATTGTTATTGAACATAGCAAAAAAATTTAAATTTCTATTGGTTTAAACATGGTTTTATAGGAGTTTGGGAGTGTAGCTGAGTGGTAATGCTCTTGCCTAACATGCACAAGTCCCTGAATTCAAGCCCAAGCAACCCCCTCCCCCAAATTCAAATCAGAGACATTATTTTTATCCCAGTGTTTCTTTTGTACACTGTTTTAATAGGAAGTATAGACATTTTTCATCATCTCATGGTCAGAAAAATTTAAAATTTTTGTATCATGGAAAAGCTTCAAACATACAACCATAAAGTGGTATAATGAACCCTCAGGTACTCATCACTCAGCTTCAACCATTTTTCTTTCATCTCTGCTTTTTTTTTTTTCCTAGTAAACAGCCAGCAGTACATATTTTCAGTCTTGTGGGGCATTTTTGGCTTTTGCCATTTTTTTAAATTGGTGCATTTTAGATATACATAATGATAACATTCATTAAAGGGAATTTGTACTTGTACATGATGTATCTTCTTTTTTTTCCCATTCCTCTCCCCTCCCTTCAACCCGTCTTCCCCTTCTTATTTACAAAAGCTTTGCTTCCATTTTGTTCCTTCTGTTCTTTTTCTTTGGCTCTTCCTTTGCCCTTCCCCCCTCTCTTGTTCCCCTTCTCATTTGAACATTTTCTTAAAATTTCCCAATACTTATTATAATTATTTTTTATTTTTATTTTATTTTTTCTTTATTTTAAAAATTTTATTATTATTCATTATTTTGGTCCTTATTTACACTTTCAGTTTCTCATACCAGAGAAACAATGCAGTATTTAAATGTGTATCTGATTTATTTCACTTAAGGTTATGGTCTCAAGGTACATCCATTTAGCTAGAAATGTCCCAAGCTTATCCTTCCTTATGCCAGAGTAGTACTACATTGTCTAAAAAAGTACATCTTTATCCATTCATTTGTTAATGGATATTTGGGCTGTTTCCAAGATTTAGCTATTACAACTGTGCTCCTATAAACATGGGTTTGCATATATCAATGTGGTATGATGCTTTTAATTCTTTCAGGAAGATACCAGAAAGGGGAATAGTGAGGTAGAATGGAACCTCTGGTTTTAGTTTTTTGAAGAATGTCCACACTGACTTCCATAGTGATTGTACCAGCCTGCACTGCCACTAACGATAGAGAAGAGTTTCTTTTTCCCTACAGCTTGCCAGCATTTGTTATTGGTTAATTTCCTGACAACAGCCATTCTTTTTTGAGTGAGATGGAATTTCAGAGTTGTTTTAATTTGCGTCTCTTGAATAACCAGTGATAGTGAACATTTTTTTCATATATTTATTTGCTTTTTCATCTGAGAAGAATCTATTCATGTGAGATGCCCATTTTTGGATTGGGTCTTTAAATTTGAGGGGTCTGATTTTTTGAGTTCTTTATATATTCGAGATAGTGGTCCTTAGTTTGAGGAACAGCCGACAAATTTTTTTTCCCACACTGTGGGTCTTCTCTTCACTCTGTTGGTGGTTTCTTTTGCTGTGTGAAAGCTTTTTAATAAGATGAGATCCTAGTTGTTAATCCTTTCTGATATTTCCTGTGTGAATGGGATTTTGTTCATAAAGTCTTTGCCTACATTAATGTCTTCAAGAGTTCTACCTATTTTATCTTCTAGCAGATTTAGTGTTTTGGGTTTAATATTTAGATCTTTGATCCATTTCAGTTTTAGTTTAGTGCATGGTGAAAGATATAGGTCTAGGTTTAATCTTTGGCATGTGGAAAGCCAGTTTTCCTAGCACCATTTATTAAAGGCTATCTTTATTCTAGTGAAGGTGTTTGGCTCCTTTGTCAAAGATAAGGTGACTGAGTGTGTTTGGAGTTCTTTCTGCATCTTCTAATCTGTTCCATTTGATCCTCAGATCTGGTTTTTTTTTTTTGTTTTTTTTTGCCACTACCATTCTGTTTTTATCACAGTAGCTTTGTAGTATAATTTCAAGTCAGGGATTGTGATGCCTCCTGCCTTGCCTTTGTTGCGCAGACCTGCTTTTGCTATTCTGGTTCTCTTGGTTTCAAGTGAAATTTAAGATTGTTTTCTATAATTCTCTGAGGTATGCTATTGGTATTTTGATCAGAATTGCATTAAATCTGTATAACTGTTTTGGAAGCGTGGCCATTTCAATACATTGGTTCTTCCTACCCAAGAACAAGGGATGTCTTTCCATTTTCTGAAGGCTGCTTTGATCTCCTTTTCAGAGTATTATAGTTTTCACTGTAAAGGTCTTTTTCTTCCTTCATTAGATTGATTCCTAAGTATTTATCATTTTTTTTGATGCTATTGTGACAGGTGTTTTTTGCTTAATTTCTCTCTCAATGAGTTTGTATTTGTCTACAGGAATGCTATTGAATTTTGAGTGTTGACTTTTTATCTTGCTATACTACTGAATTTGGTTATTAAATCTAGAAGTCTTTTAGTGGAGTTTTTGAGGTCTTCTGTGTAGATTATCATATCATCTGCAAATAATGATAATTTAACTTCTTCCTTTTCTATCATTCTTTTATTTCTTTCTCATTTAATTACTCTGGCTAATGTTTCCAAGACTATATTGAATAAGTGGTGACAGTGGACATCCTTGTTCTGTTCTTGATTTTGGACTGAAGGCCTTCAGTTTTTGTCTATTTAGTATTATATTGGCTGTTGATTTGTCATAGATGGCTTTTATCAAATTGAGATAAAGACCATCAATTCCAATTTTCTGTAGGATTTTTATCATTAATGGGTATTAGACTTTGTCAAATGCTTTTTCTGCATCTATTGAGATGATCATGTGATTTTTGTGATCATGTGATTTTTTTCACTTACTGACTTGTATATGTTGAACTATCCCTGGATCCCTGGGATGAATCCTACTTGGTCATAATCTTCTTGATGATTTGCTGCATTCTGTTTGCCAGTATGTTATTGAGGATTTTCGTGTCTGTGTTCATTAGGGAGATTGACCTGTAATTCTCTTTTTTTTGGTTGGATCCTTCTCTGCTGTTGGTATCAGGGTAATGCTTGCTTCCTGGAATGAATTTGGGAGTATTGCTTTCTTTTCAATTTCATTAAAGAATTTGAGAAGTAGTGTCTTTAGATCTTCTCTGAATTTGTTGTAGAATTCAGCAGTGTATCAGACAGGGCCTGGGCTTTTCTTTGTTGGTAGGTTTTTAATTACATCTTCAATTTCATAGGCTAATATTCATTTATTTAGAATTATATATCTTTTCAGTTAAGCTTTGGTAATTCATATGTATCCAGGAATCTGTCTATTTCTTCTGTGTTTTCCATCTTATTCGAAGTAGATACGGATGATCTTCTGGATTTTGGCAGGATGTGTTGTGATTTTACCGTTTTTGTTTTTAATTGCATAGATTTGAGTCTACTTTTTTTGATAAGGTTGGTTAAGGGTCTGTCAATTTTATTTAATCTTTCAAAGAACCAACTCTTCAATTCATTGATTCTTTATATTGTTTTCTTAGTCTCCATTACATTAATTTCTGCTCTGATCTTTATAATTTCCTCCCTCATAGAAGCTTTGGGCTTGTCTTTCTCTTTTTCTAGAAGCTTAAGGTTCAACATTAGGTTGTTTATTTGAGCTCACTCTGTTTTTCTGATATGGGAATTTACCACTATAAATTTCCCTTGTAGGAATTGCTTTCTTTGGGTCCCATAATTTCTTCTGTGTTGATTTGGCATTATTGTTTAATTGTACAAACTGTCTTAAGTCTTTAATTTCTTCTGTGACCCATGGGTTGTTTAGGAGGATGTTATTTATTTATTTATTTTTTGGAAGTACAAAAATGTAATTTATTTATCTTATTTATCAAATAAAGTATATAGATATACTATAAAGATACCATTTTTGCCTTGGAATAGGAGGATGTTATTTAATTTCCATTTTTTTTATGAAGTTCTTGGGGTTTCTTTTGCCATTGACTTCCAATTTCATTGCACTCTGGTCTGATAATATGCATGGAGTAATTTCACTTCTTTTGCATTTACTTAAGCATGTTCTGTGGGCTAGTATGTGGTCTATTTTGGAGAACATCCCATGTGCACCTGAGAAGAATGTGTATTCTAAGGTTGTGGAGTGGAACACTGTAGATTTCTACTAAGTCCATTTGTTCAAAAGTTTGGTTTAGTTCTGATATTTATTTGTTGATTTTTTTGTCTACTTGATATGTCTATTTGTGAGAGGGGGGTATTGTGGTGTCCCCCATTACAATTGTATTTTGATTTTTCACGTCCGTTAATATTTGTTTTATATAGTTAGGTGCACCATTATTTGGTGCATACATATTTATGATTGTTGTCTCTTCTTCTTTGATTGTTCCTATATAAGAATATAGTGGCTTTCTTTGTCTCTCTTAATCAGTCATCTTGAAGTTTACTTTGTCTGCAAATAGAATAGCTACCCCTGCTTTTTACTGGGTTCCTGTCACATGGAATGTTGTTTTCCATCCCTTGATTTTCGCTCTGAATTTCTTTTTGAATTAAATGTGTTTCTTGTATGCAGGATATTGTTGGATCTTGCTTCTTGATCCATTCTGCCAGTCTGTTTCTTTTGATTGGTGAATTGAGACCCTTTACGTTGATGATTATAACTGATATATATTGAGTTATCCTTGTCATGTTATTTTCCTGTTCTTGTTTCCTTTTTTTCCCCCTCCAATTACTTGCCCTTCCAAGTAGATTCATTCTCTTGGGGTTCTTGGAGTTGTAGTCCTCATTATTTCTTTCTAGAATATGCTTCAGAACATTTTGGAGT